CATTTGCGATCAGTGCTAAAATTCTCTTAGTTCGCATTTGCGAGGAGTTGGATCGCATTTGCGATCATAGGCCCAGGTTCTAGGCTTCGCAATTGCGATGCAAAGCTCGCATTTGCGAGCTTGCAATTGCGAGGCATATCTTCGCAAATGCGAAGATCACAGAAGGAAACATACCAGATTTTACAAAGTTCAAAAATGCAATCCGACACCTATCCAAAACTCACCCGAGCCCTCGGGGCTCCAAACCAAATATGCATACAACCTCAAAAAATATCCTACGGACTTATCCGTGCGATCAAATCGCCAAAATAACATCATATACATCGAATCAAGCCTCAAAACTCATGATTTATTCGAAATTTTCATAAAACATCAAATTCCCATTTTATGTCCGAAACACGTCAAACGACGTCCGTTTTCAACCAAACTTTACAGAAAGTGCTTAAATCATATATAAGACATGTACCGGGCGCCTGAACTAAAATACCGGCACGATACCATAGTCTTCTAATCAAATTTCATTTCCAATTTCCTTAACTATTTCCAGGAAACAATTACATACAAAGATTCATTTCTCGGACTTGGGACCTCAGAATTCGATTACGGGCATACGCCCAACTCCCATATTTTCCTACGGACCCTCCGGGACCGTCAAAATCACGGGTCCGGGTCCGTTTACCCAAAATGTTGACCGAAGTCAAATTTATTTAATTTAATATCAAAATTTAGCATTTTTCTCACAGAATTCATATTTAAGCTTTCCGGCTACGCGCCCGGACTGCGCACGCAAATTGAGGCAACCCTAGATGAGGTTTTCAAGGCCTCGGAAGTACAGGATGGTAAGAAAACAAGTGATGACCCCTTTGGGTCGTCACAGAGACAGAGGTTTAGAATTGTGATGTCAAAAATCTCGCACGACAAGGAAATCAAATGAGGTGGAATTTTCCTAACAGTTACATAGCCTTTTGTAGATAAGTACAGACGTCTCCGTACCGATCCACGAGACTCTAATAAACCGGCTTGTGATTCATGACTCCTATGAACCTAGAGCTCTGATACCAACTTGTCACGACCCAAGTTCACCCTCCGTGAACTGTCGTGACGGCACCTAGTCTCTACGACTAGTTAAGCCTAACAATTTGCGAAAAAGAAATGAAATACGAAAAGCGAATAAAAACTGAGGATAAATAAAATAGAAACATTTAAGATGCCGCCCGGCATAAACCAATACATGTTCTCAAAAACTGAATCAACTCCCAAAACCTGGAATCTCATGAAATCACAAGCTGAGAAGCACTACATAAGGTTCTAACTCCAGAATGTCTAGTTAAAAGAAAGTACAGAAGATCTATATCTAACTGAGGGAATAGAGAGAGAGACTCCTCGGTCTGCGGACGCGGCAGATATACCTCAAAGTCTCTGAAGGTCGCCTCGGCTCACTAACGGTATGGCTGAGCCGATGAACCTGGATCTGCACACGAAAAACATGTGCAGGAAAGGGCATGAGTACACCACGGCGGTACATAGTAAGTGCCAAGCCTAACCTCGGTCGAGTAGTGACGAGGAAGGTCAGGGCCCTAGCGGTCATAAACATATATATATATATATATATATATATGTATATATATATATATATATATATCAAGATATAAAACAGTAAGAAGTAACACAAGATAATAAAGATAAAAACAACTACAATGGAGAGAAATATCACAGAAAGAATGTGACTCCACATAGAGATAGAAACCGGGAATCTCCCAGGATATCGTCCTGTAGTCCCCAAATGTAAATATCCAGTGGATCTCCTGGGTGTCATCCTGTAGTCTAGTTCATAATGCTCAGGGGGTCTACCGGAATACAAATCCGTAGTCCCAAATGTAAATATCCAGTACGGGGGGAATCTACCAGGTGTTGTCCCGTAGTTCCAATATAAATGTGCAGGGGGATCTACCGGAATACCAATCCGCAGTCCCAAATAAACAGGCAAGGGGGATCTACCGGGATATCGCCTGTAGTCCCAAAGTAAACACACAGCAAACATCACGAAGAATATTCAATTATATCCAATTTCATACAAAGAAAAAACAGGTATTTCCAACCTAGCATGCTGCACAGAATTCAAACAAAGCAGTTTGAGCAAGTAAAGCAGTTAAGTCACTTAGATATACTTCCCTAAACTAACAGTAGACTTAAATTGAAAGTAGTGTACACAAGGAAGAAAACACAATTATAGTTACTTAATGAAAGTAGGATTTTTCAAAAATTAGCACATGTACGCGCTTGTCACCTCACGTACAAGGCATTTCATATATCCACAACACCAAATCCTAAGGGGATTTCCCCCACACAAGGTTAGGCAAGCCACTTACCTCGAACTAGCTCAATCAACTCGAAATCACGTTCTTGCCACGAGTACCCGACTCCAAATGGCCCAAATCTATTCAAATTAATTGCATAATGTAAATATAAATTCAAGTAGCTAATTCAACTAATAAATTCGAAGCTAACACGCGAAATTACGAAAATCGCCCAAAAAGTCCCCCGGGCCCACGTCTCGGAATTGGGTAAAATTACAAATTCAGAACCCCCAATCACTCACGAACACATTCAAACAAAAATCACCAAGATCCAACGTCAAAATCCCACTGAAAACTCGAATTTTCAATTGGGGAAACCTTCTCCCATTTTCCAAACTTGTACCCCCAATTTCCTTAATTAGAAGAGGAAAACAACAATAGGTTATAGTTCTAGGATAAAAATCAAGATAGAAAACGTTACCCAATGTTTCTCCTTCAAAAACCCTCGAGAAATCGCCCTCAACCGAGCTCCAAATCGTTTTTTCAGGTTTTGAGTTCAAACCCTCGTTTCATCCCTTTTTCTGACCAGCGAATCCGCTTCTGTGACCATGGGACCGCACCTGCGGTCCCGCTTCTATGGAAAATAAACGGCACCTGCGACTTTTCGTTAAAACCCACACTTTCGCACCTGCGCTCCCAACTCGCAGATACGGTCCGCTTCTGCGGTCCTTGGGCCGCATCTGCGACCAACTCCACTCAAGCCTTAGCCCGCACCTGCGATCCCCATAGCACTTCTGCGGTGCCGCACCTGCGGTCCCATACATGCAGGTGCGATTATGACAGGTTCAGCCAACTTCAGATTTTCGTAACTCCAATTCAACTTCCGTTAAGCAACCGAAACTCACTCGAGGCCCCCAGGACCTCAACCAAACATGCCAACAAGTCATATACCACTATTCAAATTTGTACGAATCTTCGGAACACTCAAAACAACATCGAATCATCAAAACACCCTCAGATTCAAGCCTAAGGATTCCAAAACTTCCATTTTCCACTTTCGATCAAAAAGTCTATCAAACCTCGTCTGAATGACCTGAAATTTTGCACACACGTCGCAAATGACACAACAGACCTACTCTAACTTCCGGAATTCCATTCCGAACCCGATATCAAAATCTCACTATCGAACCGGAAACTTCAAAAATTCAACTTTCGGAATTTCAAGCCTAATTAAGCTACGAACCTCCAAAACACAACCCAAACACGCCCCTAAGCCCGAAATCACCCAACGGAGCTAACGGAATTGACGGAATTTCATTCCGAGGCCGTCATCACACTGCTCCGACTACAGTCCAAATTTTAAAGCTTAAGCTCTCATTTAGGGACTAAGTGTCCCAAAACACCCCGAAACTCAAAACGAATCCTCCCGACAACTCACAATAGCAGAAACAAACACGGGGAATGCAGTTAATAGGGGACGGAGCATTAATTCTTAAAACGACTAGCCGGGTCATTACATGAGCCCACTTCATTAAGCCCAACTTGTCATCTTCCTAGAGGCCCAGTTTGGCGCCATGCGTCAAATGATGTGGCGCGCCAAGTCAAACAAAAGACCCAATAGGATCGTGCCACGTGTCAGAATGACAAGGCATGCCAAGTCAAATTAAATGGCCAATGAAACTGCGCCACATGGTCAAGTGACATATTTTGGCCAATCAAATACGTCCTTGTCACGCTTCAATCTGATTGGTCGGAAAGAGTTTGTTCTCGTCACAACTCTTCCCTCCCACAACTATAAATAGGGGTCTTCATAACTCAGAAAAGATACCAGAAGTTATAACAAGAAGCAAGAGAGAGCTCGTGGATCAAATGCCGTAAATTTCTCTATAAGTTTCAAGCTCCAAACAATCAAGTTCAAGTTCAAGAAATCAAGTTCAAGCTCAAGAACGAAGAACAAATCAAGATTCAAGGAGTATGAGTTTAAATCAAAGTTCGTGCTAGTTGAATTCAATATCATCGTTCGTGACAATAAATATAGGTTCAAGATCCAGCTCAAAGGCCCTTGAATTTATATGGGAAAAGAAGAATCAGAGGAACCATAGAGATTGTAACACTCAGATATTTGAAATAAAATACTACGATTATTGCAATATTTTTCGGTCTCGATTATTTTCTTGACGCAAATTTATTGTCTATACCCCTAATTCTTTATTGTGTTATGTTTGCGATCAACTACATTTTCCATGTTGGCACTCACATAATTGTGCCCTCCATTGATTGAACATCGACTGCTTTGAAAGACAGATTGCAAGGCTTCGAAACATATTTTGCGATTTGAAGTTGATGTTTTAATACTATGGTTGCAAATAAATATCTTCGGACTCTGTTCAGCTATGCATTCCGCAGGTTGTTCCTTGCGGTCGAAGTACGATAATTGCAGGTAATCTAAGCATTTAGGAATTGAAATGGAGAATGCAATGTCATGACCCAAAATTCACTAGTCGTGATGACACCTTACCCAAACCGCTAGGCAACACTACAACAAAACATGGTTGTAGCGGCAATTATTTAATGGCAATAACTTAATTGCTGCTAAATTATTTAGTGAAGGCAAAATATTAGCAGCTAATAAATATTTTCCAGCAATAAGTATATTTTTAGCGGTGATTCAAGAGAATTAGTTTGCTAAGCTTTTATTTTTACTTTTTCTTTTCCCTCCAATTTTTTTCCCCTCTAAATCTTCTCCCGCCTGAATAGTATATCACTTCTCTGATTTGCCTAAAAAAAGGAAAACCTACGCCTCTAAGAATTAGGTCTCATTCTTAAAAAACTTTTTACAATTTTCATGGTGTAAGAAAACGTTCGCCTCTAGCAACCAAAATTTTCGCCAATTGAAAGGTATGATTTCTATCTATTCTTCTATACTTTTATATCTTTATCTTAATTTCTCTTTATACACCTCTATCTCTATCTCTATCTTTTAGGATATTGTCAAATTGATTCATGTTCTTGAAGTGAAGGATGAAACTTTTTCTATTGATAATTATAACTTTAATTTGGTTTGCACTTTTTGCTTACTGAGATATATTTATTTTTGTGCTATATCTCTGGATTCTATGGTGCTACTTCTCCATCCCAATTATGTTATACATATTAACTTCTCACAAATTCAAATATCAATTAAACTTCAGGTTGAACACTTTTTTATCATTCTGTTGTGTCAATAGTGAAGTTTAATGGTGAAAAAATCTGAAGCTTCATTCCATGGAATTCATGTGGCAATTAAAGATTTAAAAAAAAAACAGTATTGGTAGTTAGGTTTTCCACAGTTTGATAGAGTTATTTAGTTTTCATGAATTCGTTTTGTATAATGCGGCTTATTAGGTGTTTAAATGGTGTTGATTCATTGAACAAATTTATATTATAATGAAGTTTAGTTATAGTTTGCGAGCGATCGTCTTAGGTGCTTCTTAATGATTATCGTCCTGAAATTGTATCAGGTTCAAGCCGTGTTTTTGAATTGGTATATCATAATCTTCTTTGATTTTTTTCATTCCTTTTTTGTGTTTTCTTTTACCATCTTACCTTTCCTTTTTGGGGCAAATTATACTACTAGGCTTGGCCCTCATTTATCATACTTGTGAGTTATTCAATATGAAGTTCCTTAAATTCCTCTTCAATAAATCTTCAAAATTCTTCATTTCTTCTCCGATCTATTGGACCTTGTTGATGTGGCGGGGGAAACCCATTTTTGCTTTGCAGCTCTCATTGGGAGTTGCCTTAGTGTTATTTCTTGATTCACCTTCTTTTTCCTCTATGCATAGGAGATAAATCTCCACTTTTAGCCACCTCTTTTGGACAAAATTCAATCAATTCATCTTCGTCACCTTTGTCGGAAATGGCAACACGTAAGTTGGCCTCTAGTTTGATTAGCTAGTTCTTGTATAACCATCCATAATGGTTCATGCCTCTTCATGTCATTATGCTTCATTGCGGAAGCTTTAAATTCAGTTATATTGGTGCGCTTCTTACCCGGTTGTACACTACCTGGTTCATGTCTCTTTGCCTCTGAAACTTCAGCATGTCGTTTTTGAGCCAGTTGAATATACACATTTATGAGGTTTTGGACTGTCCAAAGCATTCAAAAGTGCCCGTTCATGGTCTGAGATCAAAGCCTTGTTTGATATCTCACCTGACTGTTTAAAACTCTTCAAGTCTAATGCTGCGATCTGGACAGTTGCTGGTGCGTCTGTACTGATCTTTTCAGTCTGCTGCATCTTAAAATTGTTTGGAGTTCCTTTTTACTGGATACTATTGTCCAGTTTTCAATCTTCTTCACAGAAGTGTTATCACTCTTTGCACCTCCATTCAGTGCATCTGTAGCTTCAGCTTTTTCAACTACTTCAATTGCATCATTAGTTCGATCACACAGCTCTGCTTTGTTGTCCCCCACAGCTGATACCCTCTGCCCGTTAGACTTCCCCTCACTGCTAGGACGAGGCAGAATTATCTGCTGCACATTATCATCTCTTAAGGCTGGTAAGTTAACTCCAACATCCTCCTTATGTGTAAGTGCATCAAAAGCATTTTGAGCTATGATAGCTTTTGAGACATTCTGTTGCACAAGTGGGAAAATTGACTGCTGCTGCGTATTTTCCACCAACGAAGAGTTACCTTGCCTACTTGAAACGCACCGCTTCATTCCTGCCACCCTTAGTTTTGTTCTTTGTTATCCCATCAACCTTAGTCAATAAGTTAGAGGATACTCCTTTAGGTTTCCTAGCTCGCGTAGGTGCAAATTCCAGTCGAGTTGTTTGTGCGCCAGCATCATCAGTAGCAGCTGTTTGTGCACCAGTATCAGCATTAATAGTTTGTGCACCAACATTAGCAGTAACAGTTGTTTGTGCACCAGACCTGGGGGGAGATTTGAGAGACTGCTCCTCAGTTTCACGTACTGTACCTGCTTTTTCAGTTTGCTGCACTTTCTTAGTGTTTGGAGTGGCTTTTTTTGCTGGAAATCATTATCTAGTTATCCATATTACTCTGCTGCTCAGCTTCCTTTCTATCTTGTCTAGCACCAGGAGCTCTAGCACGCTTAGCATCAGCTCCTTTCACAGCAACTTTAGCTCTTAATAAGGTAGCAGTAGGGATATCTTCTGCACATACATGCCTAACTGAGTTTTATGCATATTCCTGAACCACACCATCAGCTGCAAGTTGATTAGCTTTCACAGATACATGTGATCCTGATATTTGGTGTGTATCAGCAGCCTCAACATTACAAGGTTGCCCGGTCATTCCATATTGTTTCTGCACCTCATTACCTACACGATCAGCCAAAATCCCACTGGTCTCAGCCCCAGTTTTTTTAGCTATTTCCTGCTGAGAAACAGCCCATTCATTACCAATAGTAGCACCCTTAATTTGTGCAGTTGTTCCCAATGTTGTATACATCCTTGACAATATTGTGGTAGTAGGTATGTCTTTCAAACTATTATCCTGTTCAGCACCTCTTTTCTCTTCAAGAAATTGCCCAGCTTCTGTTTGAACTACAGCTGCCTTAGGAACATCTTTAACAGCTCCCTTATTATCTGTAGCAGCAACTCGATCAGGTGTGGCAGTCTGAAAAGCCACATGTTCCACTCGATTCATAACAGCTCGATCTTCATCAACTTTTGCTGAGATTTCAACCATAGGATTCCCAGTTTTAACAACCTGATCAGTCCCCTTCATCATCACTGTATCCCTAGCCAAACTGACTGCATTGGAAACTCTAGCTAGAGATCGATCAACTGGAATATTATCACGACTTGATGCAGTCACACACTTTGAAGCATCTCCTACAGGAACAACTGGACCCTACTTCCTCCAGTTTTTTCAACTTGCACAGCATGTCTAACACCTGTAGCATCTGTTCCTTTACTCAAATCATGACACACCTCCTACCTAAAAATAATTTGCTCTGCACAATTTTTTTTTATTTTTCTGTTCAGGAAAGGTAATTTGAATATTTGTTTTTGTTTACAATAAACCTAAGTATGAAGATAATGTATGTGTTAATATTATCATAATGTTTGTCTCTTTTTTAAGTAATGATTCGTCTATATGGTTTAGGTTTCTGGTTTATTAAAATTGATTGTTCAGTTATTCTGTTTATTCTCATTTTGTACTTTCGATAGCCCATGTTATTCTTTGTTTTTATTTTGTTTGTATCATTGGCTTTTTTTCCTTTTTACATATATAGTCTTGTTTTGAGTAAATTAAATAGCACGTTGTGTCTTTTCTTTTTCTTTTTTTCTCTTGTCTGGTGTTAAATAGAGTAATAACTGATAAGCGATGAAAAAAGACTTTAATCTATCTCCTAAGAGTCAGACACTGGATCCTCAAAATAGTACTAAACTAGTTATTTTGCTTTGTCATTATTTAAAAAAACATCATCTTAAAACAAAGGAACTTTCATAGAATGTAGATACAGAAACTGAAGATTAAGATTACAAAAATAAACTAGAAACTGGTGTTTTAATACCAAATAATAGTTTAATGTGCATTTCTTACTGTTTTCAAGTTGTTCCCTGTCCTTAAAATATAGTACATTTTTTATTGTTGAAATGACTTCTTTGAGCTATATAATTATGTTAATATCTCATCTATAACTATATTTTTTCTAGAACTACCATTTAGGTTATTTTCTCTTTTATACTAAATTATTTTTAGCTATTATTGTAATTGTAGAAAAGAAAAAAAATTCCTTGAACAGTTATGGACAAGCCTAGAAGTAAGAAATGGATGTATTATGATAGAGTCAGTAAAGAATATTTGGATGGAGTAGAGAATTTTCTAAACTATGCCTTTCGTGAAAGAGAAACAATTTCATGTCCTTGTTCACAATGTGTGCTATACTATCAAGTAAATCGGGCAACTGCATATGATCATCTTGTGGTTAATGGTGTTATGCCATCACATGATACTTTATTTTGTCATGGGGAGTCTCTGAATGAATCAAATAGTACTCAAGTAGATAATTACAGACAATTAACTATAAGGGGTGATGATATGAGAGGAATGACACATGATGCTTCTGGAGGCTTTACCCAGTCTATGGATAGTGATATTAGTGAAAGGGGTGAGATGGAGCCAAACTCAGAAGAAAATAATACTAATCCATCTATAAATTAGTCTCATCTAGAGGTGGATAAGTTTGAACGACTCTTGAAGGATTCATGAAGAACTATATCCTGGATGCAAGAAGTTTAATAAACTATCGTTTCTGCTGCATCTCTACAATATGAAACGGTCGTTCAAAAGGACAAATGAATCTTTTAATACTTTGCTTGGACTATTAAAAGATGCATTGCCTGAGGGGGAAAAGTTGTCTCCTTCTTTCTATGAGACTAAAAAGATAGTTGAAGTGTTGGGCTTAAAGTACAAAAAAATTCATGCTTGTCCCAATGATTGCATGCTTTTTAGGAATGAATTTGCTAGTAAGGATGTTAATAAATGCTTAATTTGTGGGGCTTCTAGATGGAAAAAAATTGATAGAAAAATTTCAGCCAAGGTCCTAAGGTGTTTTCCTTTAAAATCAAGGTTACAAAGATTATTTATGTCTTCAGAAACATCTAAGCTAATGCGGTGGCATCATGAAGAACACAACAAAGATGGAGTTTTACGACATCCTGCAGATTCTGAAGCTTGGAAAAGTTTCGATAATAAAATATCCAGTATTCGCTAGAGATCTCCGTAATATTCGTCTAGGATTAGCTTCTGAGGGATTTAATCCATTTGGTACAATGCGAACTGTTCATTGTACATGACCAGTGATTATAATGTCATATAATCTCCCACCTTGGATGTGCATGAAGGAAGAGTTTTTTATTTTGTCATTACTTATTCTTGGACCA